TTATTCAATATTTGATGTATTAAAAATTAATTTTTATGTTATTATTCCTTTTCTTTTCAAGTGATCTTTGTTTTTTCATTTTTTTTCTGTGAAATTATTTCAATTTTATGTTCATGATAACAGAATTTATAAATTAATTTAATTTAATTGAGTTTTTTTTTTTATATAATTTTTTCCTTTAACATTAAGATTAGTGATACTCTAGATGATTTTAGGTCAGGTTTTTTTTATCTATTGTTTACCAACTAGTCCGATGATTCAAGTCTTAGATTTTTTGTTCCTCAGCATTTTTTTCACGTCGAAAAAAATAACTAGTCCGCGGTACAGCGTGGGCTCCAAATCTAGTTTATTCCCTATGGTGACTTTAGCTGGTATTTCCTATTTATTATGTTTAGTGAAAAAGAGTATACGCAGGAAAGTTGGAAAATAATCGAGTTTGAGAAAGGGCTCTCTGAGAGCTGCCAAGATTTCAAACAAATTGTTTTTACTAGATTTTCTTAATGGATTTTAATTTAATCTTTCCATCCATACTCTCTTTTGTAAGCTTTGAGTTTGTTCTTGTAGCAATTATACTATTGGGATGATGGCAGCTTTTGCAAATCAGGACATGCTCGATCGTTGTCAAGCTATTGGAGATCAGTATAAAGAGTTCTTTTCTGAAGACACTACATCTACAATTATTATTATTAATTATTAATTATTAATTATTAGTTATTATTATAGTTTTATTAAGAAAAACTAAAAGATATTGAATGGTTGCAGTAAAGATATGAACAACCAATTGCGCCGTTTTGAAACAGCAAGTTTTTGTATCTTTGGCTTAGAAAATGTAATAGGGATTATTTTTTAAAGTAAATTTTATTTTAAAATTTTTTATTTTTTAAAATTTTATTTTTGATATATCAACATAATTTAAAAATATTAATAAATTAATTTAAAATAAAAAAAATTATAAGATTCAAGCTTTATAACAAACTGTCTCTTATTTAATAAATGAATGATTTTTTATTTTTTTTTGTAAATTTGAATTCATTTTGGGCATTGGTGTTGGAGGTTTGTGTGTAATGGTGCTTGAACTTTGTTAGTTTTAAAATAAGATCTTTATACGTAGGGAGAGAATCGACAATAAAGAAAAAAAGAATCGTTTTTCTTTTTAAAAGCTTCTAAGATGATTAAAATATGTCTTGAGTGGCGTTATCAGATGGGCTTATTAAGACGTCAAACTCCTAAACTTGTCAGTTAAATAAATAAATAAATCTAATTTTTTATAGTTATTTGTTAACCAATCTGGAATTTTACAAAATTACATCCTAAAATTATTTTTTTAGTTTTTTTTAAAGAGAGAAAACAAGTTGCTGAATCCTATTTGAAAAAAAAAGTTGATGTTGAGAAAAATTTAAATTTCAAAAACAATTGATTTTTATGTTAGATGATTTAATATGATAAGTGAGGTTATGCGTACATGTTTTTATATTGAAAACACCTAGAAAACAAATCTAAACTTAAAAAGATTTTTTATTTTAATTTATCTTGAATTTTAGACTGATTTTTATGTGTGTTTTTAGGCTATAAATTGGATTAACAAGGTTTTTAGGATGTTTTTAAAACAAGAATGAATTAAAAATAAATTTTAAGTTAAATAAACAAATAATCTTATTTTTTTAACCACACATATCACTGGATTTTGGGATTTTTTAATAACACATAGTTTGTTTTCTTTAAAAAAATTGAGATATACAACCCAATAAATTTTAAAAAAATTAAAAATTTATACGAGCATTTTCTTGATTGGATCAAGTGCTAGCCTGACTAGCTTACCTAGTGGCACTAGCTTCATTCTTTTTTTTATTCTTTAATTTTTTAAATTAATAGTTTTTTTATATGTGTTTTTCCAAATAATTTTTAAATTTTAATTAATATCCCTTCTTTATGATTTTTTTATTTTTTAGTCTTTCATGAATAATGTTTTTTTTTTAATTATATTGGATGTATTTAGTTTTTTCAAAGGTTAGTATTATTAATCTGTAATTTTTTTATATATTTTATATAAATTAAATATTTTTTATAATATTTTCAAAATATACAACATCTCATAATTTGTTTTTTATTTTTATTTTGTTCAATAAATTTTATATGTATCAATCTCCATTACAAATTGATTTTCGTAATCAAATTAATTAAATACAATTAGGTAAATAATTCATTTTGTGCTATTAAATATTTCTATCTATATAGTATGTTAATTTTTCTTTATTTATATTAGTATATTAATTTTTTGAATTATATTTTTATTTATTATTTTTCAGTTATTTATACAATGACTAATGATTTATTTAATCGGAAGCATATGTAGGTTTTTTCTTATATTTATGCTTTTACATTTGCTATCATTATTTTTTATATATATAATTCAAATAAAATGAACATATTTAATTAATAAAAATCTATACATGCTTTCAACACCAAAATATTTTCACGACATGAAAAGGTAACAATAAGCAGCAAAACCCTAACTAAGAACACAGTTGTAGGAAAACGAACAGAGAAAGGGAGAATGGCGATCTGGGAGACTCTGAAGGCCTCATTATTGGCGGTCCTCGTCGATGATAAACAATTTCGGAGGAATGATGGCTGCCACCAGCTACCTTTCTCCATGGCTCCGCGTATTGACAAGTCAGTCATTTCCAAGAGATTCTTCGGTGCATTTTCACTTTCCATCAACGGTATCATTATATTTGGGTGATTTCCAGTAGCCTCGGAACTCCCATTCTCAGGGAACATCTTCTTACTCTCCACCTCCCACCTTTTCTTGTTCGTAATTTGATATTAAATTTTACTTTTAAATGATATTTTAAGAGTGTATATTTTATTTTTATTAACCAGCTTTTTTATGCCCTAGCGAGCCGGCCCCAGGATGCTCAAAGGAGACTGTATTTGTGGAGATATAGTTCCAATGGTTCCGGTTCCATTTGGCTATATCTTCACGTCAAGTTATCGTTACCTTTTCAAAAGCAAGAGACGACAACATGGTGTCTACAAAATTTTCATCGCCTTTTCCCGGGAACAGAAGAGCGATAGTGATAGCCAATTATTGTCTATCTCCACCCTAGTCTGATGGAAATGTCAAATTAAATTTATTTGTTTATTTCTGCATTTTCTGGACTCTACCCCAAAAAAAAAACTTTACTAATTCAAGTATAACATTTTATTTAGAGTAAGCATCTTCCGAAATACACGGGTAGTATTTGTTTTGTGGTAATATTATTTTTTTAAATTATTATTTTTTTAATTTAGTTTTTATATATATATTTTTGAATTGTTTTAATATATTAATATCAAGAATTTCAAGCATTATCAAATTAATGTATTTTAAAATAAAAAACTAAAAATAAATTAAATTAAAAAGCAACCGTTATTACAATGTCAAATACTATTTTAATATATGCAACCTTAAATCTAATTTTTGAATTTTGCATGTTTATAAATTTTTGAGCTTTGCATCTTAAATCTAATTCAAAACAATTGAAGTTTTTTGTTTTATTTTATTTTTGTATTTTTTTATCATTTTGATATACTAATTTTAAAAATAATTTTTTAAAAAAATATATTATATTAATACATTTCTAAATAAAAAATACTTAAAAAAAACTACTTTATATCATAATACCAATCACCACCTAAATCCACAATTTAACATCCCACTTTGATATATTTTACATAGTTGGGCTTTGGTTTGATCTAGTAGCTATTAGGTTTTGTAATAGGGATTTTACAATTACATTTTATCCTCTTCATTAATCGAGAAATAAACCTAATAACTCAATCAAGAAGAAGAAGAAGCCTTTAAGAGGGAGATTTTACGTATGGCTGGTGTTTAAAGGTAATTAGCTAGACAGGCATGCATGCATGCATCCTACTTTCAAAGCTTCCACGATTAATCTATTCGCTAGACAATTTGTGTATCCATGTCGATGAAATCATATGATTTCCAATAAAATAAAATAAATAAAATTAGAGATAACAATTAATCTTTCTATTAAGTGATATTATATAAGTTTTCGTTCAATTTTTCGTAAGGTGAAACCACATGTTAGCAAGTGATGCTCTAGCTCACTTGGCGTATGTTTAGTAATGCTGTGGACAGTATTAAAATAATAATTTTTTAAAATTATTTTTAATTAAAAGCAACTGTTTAATGGTTATTTTTTAAAATGTAAATATTTTAAAAAATATATCAAATTAATATTTTATTTTTAATTTTTTTAAAATCATTTTTTATACCAGTACAACAAAATAATAAAAAACATTAAAAAAATTAAATTTTATTAAAACTCTAGAGCAGACACAGCCCTAAACAGGAAATTATATTTAAATTTTATTAAAACTCTAGCAGACACAGCCCTAAACAGGAAATTATAATAAAGGTTATTTTAGTTTAAAAATATATAAAAATAATATTATTTTAGTTATTTTTAAAAATATTGTAGTTTAAAAATATATGAAAATAATATTATTTTTATTTTTTAAAATTTATTTTTAACATCAATACATTAAAATAAAATAAAAACACAAAAAATAATTTAAATAAAAAAATTAAAATTTTGTTAAAAGCACAAGTAATAGAAATCAAAAACTTAAAATTTTGTTAAAAGCACAAGTAATAGCAAAAACAAACACCGTCTAGCAATATACCCATGTGGTACATGTATTTTATCTTGTCATCAGGTTGAAAATACAATTTGTATACAAAAAATAAGTATTCTGAAGCCCCAAGTACGTACAAGTCATTAATTATTATTATTATTACTCAGCGTATCATGATCCTTCTAAAAAGGCCATTTGCAAAACCAGCTTTGTTACTCCGAAAGCGCGAGTGGTCCATGGCTTCCGCCAAAGAAATCACCAGCGCAGACACGTGTCAGTCACATCACAACGGATAAGAGTCCATTGGGCGGGCCATGCCGGTAGCCCAGTCAGCACCTCTATAATTTTTGGTTTCTTCTTTCTTTCTTGTTGGTCCAGGGTGACTTGGGTTACTCTTGGTCTTGCAGAGAAAGAAAGAAAGATGGCAGGGGCTGGGGTTACCCTAGAAGAGCTCAAGAAGAGATTGGCTGAGTTTGCCAAGGAAAGAGACTGGGATCAGTTTCATAGCCCTAGAAATCTCCTTTTAGCCATGGTAAGTTGCTCCTCTTTTTCCAGCCCCAGCTAGCTATAATCTAGAAAACTGTATATGTATTGATATACCCTTTCAAATCCCCATGCTTTGTTTTGTTTATGATCTTTCTCTAGTCCCATCAGAACTTGTAACAAGCTGACAGACCCCATTTCTTTCTTTTATCCATACAGAAGCTTATGTGTAAAGCATGCTTAATTTTATACATTTTCAACATTTATACTACTCTTGATCTCTGATCTTTGACTCTTCATTCTCATTTATCTGTTTTGGTCAAATCTTATGATTGGGGGCTGGCTCCTTTAAAATAGTATCAAATAGTTTACGGGAAAATAAATAAAATCACTGAACCTGATCTTTTGTTCAAGAAAAAAATTGAAAGACAGGACCTTTATTTATCGAATCTTTCTTGATGTTTTGTTTTCTGTCCTTCCGCATATCTCTAAAGTGTCCCGAACAAATAATTCGACCATTTTTTTTTAATTTTTTTACCATAAAGTGTAAATCCAATTGTTTAATCTTCTTTTCTTATTGCTCATCGATGGTGCTGAGCTCTTTGCTGGAGAGTTGCACTCCTTTATCTATGCTTTAGTTATGCTCATCGAATTGTTTCTCGGATCGAAACCAACCTAAATAGCTTTTTTAGTTATTTCTTACTTTCCCATTTCTGTGTTTTGGTTTTCGAGAGGTTTCTAATGTGTAAATTTTGTAATATTGATGAAGCTGGCCCTCGAACTGCAAGAACTTCAACTGTCCCACTATGTAAAACCGCGTGTTTTTGTATTAGGAGTTTAGGATATTCACAGCCCCATCTCTGGGACTTGATAATTCATACTTAAACACGAAAAACAAGAATGTACTCACGCATCAGTACAAGACCCCACATTGTTTGATTAAGACCACAGAACTGACGTAAAGACACGAACAAAATAATGGTTACGATGGTGTAGTTTTCTTTGTCAGGCTCATTGTTTTCATTTCAATGTTGTTTTGTATCACCGTGTTGCAGGTCGGAGAAGTAGGAGAATTGTCTGAGATATTTCAGTGGAAAGGAGAGGTACCAAGAGGGCTTCCTAATTGGAAAGATGAAGAGAAAGAACATCTTGGAGAGGAGCTATCAGATGTGTTATTGTATCTTGTTAGGCTCTCTGATATATGTGGTGTTGATCTTGGTAAAGCAGCCATGAGAAAGCTGGAGATCAATGCCATAAAGTACCCGATTAAGCCTTGCAAGGGCTCCTCAGAAAAAAAGCACACGCAAATCAATGCTGACAGCCACAACGATGCTAGCGGTGATGATGTTGCAGGGAGCATTTATAGCGACAACAGCACCAGTAATAGTGGGGTTTGATTTGCTGAGATTATGTCACTTTTGACTTTTAGTAGGAGGCCTCCCTTGTCTATCAGCTCTGGGCGAACATCAATACCAGTATAATATACTTTTCTTTATGTTTGTTGTCATGGAACAGTCACCAGGGTCTACGTATTCGTATCGGATATTTGTATATTTTTTATGCTTCTCCTTGTCTATCTTAACAATGGTTTTGGTGGAAAGAAGATGTTCACGTTGTGAAGGTTTTGTTTGCTTTGCATGAGGACAATTTGCATTGGTGTGTCACTGTTCCTGCTTTTAATATTATCAGAGACTGCGGTCCGATAAAGACCAGGGATTTTATGATAGCTGTTTTTTTTTTAAAAAAAGAAATTAAAAAAAGATATATAAAATTTTTTTTTTATTTTTTAAAATTTATTTTTAATATTATTATATTTAAATAATTTAAAAAAATTAAAAATTAATTTTTTTTTAAAATACAATACCATAGCAAAATCAACATTAGAGCCAAGGGATTGATGGTGTATCCTTATTCTATAGGTGGTGGTCTTTTCTCTAAGATACGGAATCCCATCAACCCATCAATTATTTTGTGAAAAAATGAAAGGATATTTATGGTTTTGTTGCTTGCATAAACTGATCATCTTATCAAGGAAAATTAGGCAACTAGCATTCAATATATATAAATTAGTGAAATAATATATTTTTATATATAATGATTTAAAACCATGACATTTAATTAATGTTACGGCGCTCAAAATAATGACTTTTAATTAATATTGTAATTCAAAAATATAATATTAATTTAATATCATGATTCTGAATCGGGTCATCAATTTAATTAGTATTATGTTTTTTAATCGTGATATTAATTAAATATTATATTTGTGAATCACAATAAAAATTAAATTTCATTGTCATTGTTTTTAATTGAAACATCAATTAAATTCCAGCAATAAATTTCTCTACATCAAAAGCTAACAAAAAAATAATTATGATGAGATTTATTATTTATTTTGTTAAACTAATATTTAATCTAGTTAATGATTTTAGATAGTTAAAACTTTTTCAATTTTAACAAAACTAGGACAAAGTTTTCTCTATAAAGGAATTATATCTAAAATTTTGTTCCACTTAAAAAAACCCAACAAATAACCAAAATAATCAAATTCAACAAATTCTTATATTTCATAATCACAGTTAGCTCCAGGAGTGCAAATAAAAATACATATATACATGTAGAATAAATATCAAATACTTAAATAATACAATATTCTAATAACTGAAATACATAAACATGTCAACATAACCCATCTATCAATATCTACATTGTTTACTAGATGATCTGAATTCATTAATGACATGATTCTATCTAGTTTTTGTCCCTACCTTAGTGATCTCGTCTTCTACTATGACATCATCAAGAATTAATTTCTCTCTAAATATATCAAGTTTAATATTGTAAATATTGAAACACCGTACTATCATCAAGATTTTTTTTATACATTCAATCAATAATTATTCTAGGATTTGATTTTTTTATTGCTAACAATAACCTAAGCAATTTTTTAAAATATTCCTCATGCGAACCAAAAGGATACTCAATCACTTTTTGTTTTACGACTTATGTTTTGTCATATGATGTTTTATACTTATAATTCAATTTTATTTTATCTTGTATGCTTGCAACCATCATTGAAAGATTATTCATGACAAGAGTTGATATAGTATTAATAATAAAATTTGCAACATTTATAACTAAGTGCCCAATCATTAAAAATAACAAAATTAGACCAAAAACATCTCAAAATTCAGAAACAAGAGGTAGCATTTCATCATTAACATCATTATCAATATTTTTTGTCACTTGTGGGTTTAACATCTAATCATCTTCATTGTTATTGGGCTCATTAACATCATTATCAAAAATTTGGACAAACACACATTCCGGTTAACTACTAGTATATAATATCATCATGTTCAAACTATTTTGGATGAAAGAATTAATCATCTTAAAATTGTTATCACACATAATTAGCACAAGATAATACTGGTGTTCACCAATTTGACAACTTCAAGTCATTTTAACATCTCTATCATTATAATTCTATCCAATTCTATAAAAAATAGTGTATTTTATTTTTGTATATAGCATGTCTAAATTACCATTTTAACAACAAATTAACTATTCCCACCATTATATGTGATACCATTCTTCATATCAAGAACAATAATGCATCATAATGACATAACATCAACATGCTATTAGACATTTTGTAAAAAAAAAACAAATCAAATTCTAGAATATTTAACAAAATTTAAATTTATCATAAACCATAAATTTAGCTTAAACAATTATTCCATTGCAGCTAACCAAATTTTTTATTAAATATTAATTTTTTTTGGTTTAGTCAAAATAAAATCATTGTTTAAAAAAAGGGTTAGGGCTGATTGGGGCATCAATTTAGAGAGAGAGAGGTTGTTGTGCCTGTGTATTTTGTAATCTGGAAGGAAATTTCATGACTTGTTACATTTTAGAATTACGATATCTTATCATATTTAAAAATAATAATATTTTGTAAATTTTATACTTTTAGTAAAAATATACTATTTTATTAAAAATAAACCAATAAAATTATTCTGCCAGAACTTTTTATATTACCGCTAATAAAATAAAAATCACTCGGGAGACTTGGCTTCTCTCCATCATTTATCGATTTAGACGGAACTTGAGTGGCCTCGCTTTCATTTGCCGCCGTGGAGGTTCGAGTCTCTTCAAGTAAAAAAAAAAAAACATGTACTAGAAAGAGGATAGAATATACGACAATCTCTCGCCTTTTGTTGGAGGCTTCTCCCATATAGCGGGTAATGATCCTTCAGCAGATACTCGTTTTCTAAGGTAGCATCTGATGCCTGAGGATTGGAGGATTTCAAGAAATAGGAACGAGAGTGAGCAATCAAGGGTTCTTTGTTCGGTTTGGAATTCCATGTCGCCGCCTGCCCTCCCAAAACATGATATTTCCAATCATCTCTGCGTAGTTCGATCGTGTTGGAGAGAAAAGAGAAGGACCGTAACTATATGCCTCCTTGGCCCAAAGGGTGAGGTTGGTGTTTCTTTGAACAAAAAGTTCAATCAAGCTTGTTTGGTTACACGGCCATGCTGCTGGCTATGGGATTCACATGCTAGGAAATTTAAATGCTACCTTTTTGGATAAGTGAAAGATGTCATTACCACCGCAGGGGAGCTAGGTCGCCAGTGCAAGTCGTCGTTGTAATGGGTTGGAGCTTGAAAAAAATCCCAGGAAGAGTGAGAGAGCCCCTCAATTTAACAGGGACGGTTGTCCATGTCATAGTAATTATCCTCTAATAACTAGAGACCACCACACAGCATTGTCCTTCGATTCCCCACAGTTAATGGTGCCTAATTTTGACCAATTTTTGGCACACACTACTCTATTGGAAAGCCCGTGAAAGCCTAACAATTTCTTTGGAAAGTCTACAAAAAAACTAGATATCGCTCCAAAGACTTTTTCTGAGCATTATCATCAAGGAACGTGAACATAATGTTAGAAGGGGAGGAGGAGGAGGAGACGAAGAAATTTTAGTTTTTTATATGTAGGCGAGTCACCGGCGGGGTCTTATATGTAATAGCTGCGATATCCCAACCACCCGCTACATACATATTTACCGGCAGGGCACACAAGAGGACAGACATCCGGCCATATACTCCGAATACACATACAGAAGGAACTGAACATGAAGTAGATTGCTAGCTAGCTAGATCTAGAATCTGTCAAGTTACTGGCGTTCATCATATGATCCCTAATATAAATTCATGGTCTAATTAACTTGTATTAAGCTAGAATTACATATCCTCGTTCTGGTGGCCACAAAAATGATGCGCCTCTACTTGCCGAGTCATGTCACGTGAATAAAAGTGAAATCTACAGGAATAAATAAACCCAATTCACTAATGGAGTTCTTCTTGATTATTATATTTGATTTATGCAAATAACTTGTGCACGTGAAGAGAGAGAGGGATCGAGGAGGCTAACTTACGCAGAGAGGTGGTGGTGGATTTTATTGGCAGGACCTAAGCTTTGAACGGCAGCTGTGGCCGTCCAAAGCAGAGCCGTGCTAGTTGTTACATCATTATAATTTAATAGTTTAAGTAGTTAATTAAAATTTTAAAATATAATTTATGAAAAAAATTTAAATTTTAAATTGATATTTACTTGTATTATCTTTGGTCATTCTTGATAACTTATAAAGAATTATTTTAATATAATAATTTATATTATTTTTTATAATTAAATAATTAAAGATGAGCTGACATTCTCTTCTTTCCTGAACTCTTGATTTGGACCGAAAACGCAGTACTCTTAATAATATTATATTATATACTGTTTGGGTTATAGTCTATTTTCTCGGCAAATTTGCGGTTTAATGTGTGCATGCAGGGCGACTCGTGGCTGCATATCTGGAAAAAGCGGCTTGGAATCTGCTACGTGGCTGCTCCTCCGAAATTACCACTACATACCTATGCACGGTAATATGAGAGCGGGGCAGTTTAGTTTTAATGTACCCGCACCCGCTCCTCGTGACCATCGGTGAATGGTATTTCACTACTTACATGGTCTGTGCTATGTGATATGCTGTGAGTTCATTTTTAGCAGGATCCAAAATTTATTCAAGTTCTATTAGGTTAGGTTTAAAATATATTTGAGTCTTGTTATGGTTAAGATTCATTCAGGTTATGTTGAGTCTTGTCTAACTTGATTTATATCTAGTCTTAAGTTAATTTTGAATTAAATTGTATAGGATTCAAGATTATTTAAGTGGTGTACATGGTAGAATCCAAGTTTATTTTTGAATCTTGCAACTAATAATCTATATATTTTATTTATAAATAAAAATAAATATAAAATTAAGTATGATTTGATAAAATTATTATTATAATACATTTAGTAAAATTAGTAAATTCATCAATTATTTTATTTATAATATTAATTATAATAAAATATACTCTTGTAAATTTTACTGAAAGTAATAATATTTACAATACAAATCATAATATTTTCAGTATTAATATTATTGACTATTATAAAAATAATTTTAATTATAACTCCAAAAATATAATAATAATCTTATTATTAATTATACCAAAAAAATAATATTACTAGAACA